TTAAAATTTTATATTTATAATGTATAAGTTTTATGTATAAATATATTTATATTCAAATTATATATATAATTAGTTATATAAACACATAGTCTTTTATAAATCAATTATAATTGAACATATTCAATTATATTTTAAGGTATAATCAGTTATAAGATTCAAAAATTTGCTTGCCATATTTTCTTCTTGGAATCCAATTCTACACATGTAAATATGTAATAATCCATTATATCCTACCTAAGTAATTATATGCTCTTTGTCCCTAGATTTTTTCACTGATTGACCAAGTTATGATTGGATTTTTACTGACTTTTCATATTATTTTTCTGGGATCCATGCAAACCAAACACGGCCCTGTGTACCAACCAGTTCTGAGGCCCAACGGCTGGTCCCCAAGCCTTAGGGCTTGAGTGAGGGGAGAGTTAGAGTTTCGAACTCTGCCATCATCGTGAACTCCATCAACTTGCGACTTAATGGTCGTGCGCCTCATATATGAAGGGGTGGAATGTTCATCATTTCGGGAAATCTCAACTGCTAACAAACTAATTCAACTAACTTTTTAATCATTATCTTTGCCAAAAACACAAAAAAAAAAAAAAAAAAAAAAAACACGGCCCTATATAAATTATGAGAGCAACAAAGCTCCTCCTTCCCTGATTTCCTAGGCTAGGTTCCTGATGGTGACAAACCACCTGACGAAAAGTCAAATAACTGGAGATATTGTTTTTTGATTTACAACAGACTTGAGAATTTTTTTTTTATTTATAATTGACATGAGATATTTTTTATTTACAATGGACATGAGATAATTTGGATTAAAAAGTTAACGATGTATTATAAAAATAAAATCTTGCACGTAGTACCTATCTAATTTTTATTTTTATTTTGAGAGTAGAGAAAGAAAGTTTTAGAAAGTTTTAATTTTTTTTATCAATTTTTAAGATTTTATTTAGAAGGGTCAGGATTTTAATTTTTTTTTTATTTTTAAAAAATTTAAAACCTCTAAAAAAGTTAAGAAATTTTATAAATTGATTAAATTTGAAAATTTTGGTATTAGTTTTAAAATTTTATACTTAATAAGTTTTAATTTTATTATACCGACTTTACTCATTATTGATATTCTCCGGAACGCATTAATAAAGACAATGGATATTGATCTATATATTTATGTTTACACTATATATTTATGTTTACACCATAAATTGTAAAAATTTAAGATCATGTCACATGTTTAATATTTTTAAACGAATGGAGGTGATTTACTCATGCTAAATATGCAATTTTGGATCTCATGATAGATCAAGTGCCACGTGGGAAAGAAAGAACGGAAAAGATTAGATTTTATCTTTTGGTTGCGTATTTGAATCATGTTCGGGATTATTTCAACTGGTTCTTAGGAATTGATTTCAATTAAAGATATGAGCTGACTAATAATGGAACAAGTGGTGAAATTTGAATGGAGTTTTGACTTAGTCAGTCTCTCAAATATCCAACTTCTTCTGGAAATTGCCCATGTTCGAGTAACTATATGGAGTGGGGAGTTGCAGGCGAGGAAGTGGAAAACAAAAGGAAAATTGTTTATCATTCAATACACGACTAGCTCTACACATAACTTAACAAATTTTCTAACTTTTAGTTTCCCAATGATTGGTCACTTTAGCTTATAAATTTCGGTTTTTAGCATAATTCTTAGTAGATTTAGGTTGTTTAGTTTAATGTTTATGATAAATAATATTTTATCAAATGATTATTTATATGACGTTCACACTTCTTCCCAATTTTGAGCATGTTAATTTAGTCATTGTTTATATTTGTTTTAGTTTTATTTAGGGTTAGATCTCCAATTTTGCGGTAGTTTAACTTCCAAATATGTCTGTAGATAGCAAATTTAATCTGACAATGAACATGCTTAATTTAATCTGACAATGAACATGCTTAATTTAATTTGGGTACATCTTGTTTTTGCAAGTTTATTTTAGTTTGCATTTCGTATAGTTTGCTTAGGGTCTATTAACTTAAGTTCACGATAGTGTTTGAGTCCTTAGAATTGTCCAAAACAGATTTAATAACCAATTTTGTAGGAAGGCATCCCTTCCTCTTGCAAATTGTCTATAAGCACAAATTTTAATTGAAAACTAACATTCTTCCGACAATTTGCAAGGAGGTCAACCATGAGGAATGAGAGGGTCATTAGGAAAATCTTTTTTTTTTTTTACTTTCAATAAAGTAAGTAGCACACCTACATTTAGATTCCGTATATGCGAAGCCATTAGAGGATTTTGGAGGAAACAACCCAATATCTCTCTCATGCTTTATTGATATGGGATTTATCTAGGGGTGTCACATACACCCCTTTCAGGACTCAATGTCTACGTTAAGGTATGTTCCACCACTGTTGAAGAAAACATGTAGAGTGACTAATACTATTTGTAATGACCCAATTCGTTATTGATATTGTTTGCTTTAGTCTTTTGGGTTTCATGGTTTTAAAACACATCAAAAGAGGGTAATGAATGTTAACCTATATATCTCACATGTCTCATAGTGCTTTATTAGTGTGAATTTGTCCAAAGGTGTCACATAAAAATAATTGATTATATAAAAAAAAAAACTAATTTTTCACACACTTTCCAAATGTAAAATAATTTATTATAAAACAGAAATAATTGATTATAAATGTACAAAAACCTAACAAAATTTTCTTCATAGCCCTGTTTGGTTATAAACTTTCCTAGGAAAATTTCCTTTAGGAAGCCAAGCAAAAAGAAAAGGTTGGCATGGCTAAACTTTTCAGAAGAGTGGAAGTATTGAATATAATCAATTATTTTTGTTTGATAATAGGTTAAAACGATTATATTTAATCATCTTTTTAAAGATAACTTTCGAGATTTTTGCCTCCAAAATACATTTGTGCATATGTAATCCATTACTTTTTATTATAATTGGTTACAATATAAAAATTTATTTTATTTTATTTTTTATTTTTGTGCCTGAATTGTTGAGCCAAGCCCGTTCAAAATTTGTGTGACTTCCTTGGAATGTTTTTCCAGGGAAACTAGCCCACCAAACACAGCCCGTGTTTTTAATCAAGAAGAATCCAGCCCTAAGCTTGATTCTTTTCCCCTCGGAAGTAAAGGCTTGTTTAGTTGTTCACTTTCTTCAAAACAAGAATCTAAGTAGACTAAAATTGCATAAGACTTGGCTTAAAAAAATTAATTTCTTGTAGTGTAAATTGATGAATAATATAATTGATTATGAAAGGATTGATAATGTATTATATTACCACTTTATCAGGAAAAAAATTTTTCGAGGTTTTTTTTGCAAACAAAGTGGATAAGTATAATCACTTATTTTTTTAAGATAATGGACTAGATAGCAAATATAATATATCATCTTCTTCTCTTTCATATTAAGTATATTATGCCTCAATTTGGGTGCTAAAAAATTAAAAATTTCCTAAACCAAGCTACGTGTAACATTGATCGGCTTTCCTGAATTATTTTTTCAAAGAAGTGGCTAACTGAACAGGCCCTTCCCAAGTTCCTAGGAAAGTTTTTTTTCCGGGTTTTTTTCAAAGAAAGTCAACATAATTGGTTACAAAGAAAAAACAATCAATTATATTAATATTATTACTTATTTTTTAAAATAATTAATTATATTATAAATATAATACATTATTTTTTTATAACTAATTATATTGTATCTTAATTTATGTTTTAAGAAATTAAATTTTCTAAATCAAGCCATGTGTGATATTGATTAGGAAATTAATCAACCGAACAAGCCCTAAAATTTTCATGTAAAATTTGCAACGAAAAAATACCAGGCACAATAATCATTTTTCCAGATTAAACTTGGCGGGTATTTGTAGGATTCTTGAGGATATCAAAGAGGCCCGACATGTTGTAACACTCTTATCAGTAATTTCTACGGACACAAGGCAATTTTTTGGGATAAAATAAAACATTTCGATGGCATCAAATAAAAATAATGCCTTCATGGTTCATACCAAACAGAATTTAGTTACCTCACTCTACTTTTCAGGCCTAAGCAGAATTACTCATGAAGTAACTATATATAAAAATAAATTACAGAAACAAATAGGACAAAACCTGAACATAAAATTTAATTTCTTGAAAGCCTTAGTGGAATGAAAGTAAGGTGTGTTTTATCTAAAATAAATAAGATTCTCTTAAATTTTCTTTTATTTTTTGAACAATTTATAATTTCAAAGGATTGAGGAACGAGATTTTTAAAGCATTGATAAAACTCGAAACTCCAACTAATTAATCCAAATACTTTAAGATTTAGAAACAAACCACTTAGACTCGAATGTCCAATTCCTTCAATTTTCTTTTATTTTTTCTTTAATTTTCCACAGTTTTCATATTTCCCTTTGTTAAAAAAAATAAAAAGGATTAAAAAGAAAACTTTAACAATATATATAATATATATAACACTATTTAATTTGACTACTAAGAATAGTTGATAACTATAACAATTAACTAATATATAATTAAAAAATTAATATTTATTATTTAATAATTTAAAATCAACCTATAAATTAATATTTTCAAATACTTTAACTAATTATATACTAATAAAATCAACTAAACTTAACACAACCTATACTACTTTTATGTGATCTTAACAATTATTTATATAATCATATCCATGGCGGCGAAGTTGACATCCACTATGACAGTTTAATCTGTATTTGTCTTTAATCAAAGTAGTCTAGAGGCAAGATCATTTGAATTTTTAATCTATGGATACGCCTAATCATTGGACCAACCATCTAAAAATTGAAGCATCACAACAGTGTCCAAAAATCCTCACTGTTTGTCATAATAACTCTTTCTCTTCGATAATTTTTGGTCGTTATTGTAATTGACTAGGCCATAGATTTATTTATCAATGTACTCTATGAAACATTTTCTTCTTGTTCAAAAAAATAAAAATAATAATAATAAATAAAAATAAAAGCCCTCCATGTAACATTTTCTGGCAGGAATTTCAATAATCCCTTCAAATTTGTTCCTATTAAGTGCAACAATGGGTAACAGAAGGAAATGATGTTTCAATGACCTACACCGAGCAATAAGACTATTAAGAGCATACACAACACTGAGATGAGAACATGAGACCAAACTGATGATCAAACTAAGGATCAACAATGAACAGCCACAGCAACCAAACACAAGATAGAAAAAGTACATTTTCATGGATTTCACTATTGCAATCTTTCAAGATCAAAGATTAATTGCTAAGAAGCAAACTTACAGTTAAGATTTCTGTAATTTTTTCCAAAATTAAAGCATCTTGACACCTGCATGCCTCAAATATTCAATGACAGCCTTCACTATACCATGATATGTCTGCTCTGGCTTTAAGAAGAATGAAAACAGCAGCTATATATCTGAGCAGCAAGCCAGGGCTCGATATTAAGGCTTTCTCCTGTGAGCTTGCAAATGAAGCAATGGTGAAAGTTGGAGCATGGATCACTTGAGCACTTACATACTTGTTTGTGAAATGCATTTTCATGGATGGCTTACAGGTGGTGGAATAACTGTCTCTGTCCAAAATATTGAGAACCATTAGCATTTTCCTTTTTGACTTCTCTAAACAAAATCATTAGCTTACAAATAATTCTTACTCTTGTCAGAACATGATGATGCCAATACACATTTTTTCCTTCAATCATGCAAATAATCATACACTGAAAAGTTTGAATATGAAGGGCCATCCTCAGAATGAAGAAGAGCATAACAATGATCACAAAAATAACAAGGGTTCTCCATTGCCCACTTATCATCCACGGTGACCTTAGTACCTCTATAAATGTTGCAAACATTGCATTTCTGGACAAGGGTTTTTTGTTGAAAGATGACTATTGGATAAGCTGCCCAGTTGTTTACATCCTCAGGATGAAACAACCTCATGTCTCTAATCACAACTGTATGTTTGCAATCCCCCTGATGACAATAGAGGTAACCAGCACCAAGTCGAAACCTCAAGTCACAGAACTGTGTCTTGTTCATGTCAACAGCTCCAAAGTGAGGCAGTTGTGAGTTTGTTGAACTGCCTAAAATTGCTTTATGCTTTTTTTGTAGCTGACCAGTTAATATGCAGTCCCATTTCTTTTGAGCATCATCTTTTGAGTTTTTAAGCCAATCTAGTATTGGTTTGCTATAATCTGTAGCAGAGGGATCCCTTAAATCATTGTAAAACATGTCTTCTATAAGGAAATACCCAGAAGGATCATGCTTTCCAGCCTTTTGCATCACTTGGTCTGACAAGCAATATATCTTATCCCTCAGTTCAGTCAAGGTTTGTTGACCAAGGACCAGGAACTCTTGGGTTTTTGACCATTTTCGTATGTTATGGTAAACCTCAACACAAAGAACAACTTCTGGGCACGCCACAGGTATGTGCTCCTTAATATCTGATGCTGTTACCTTTCTTGCTGAATTTGTAGACTTGAGGGATTTCATTCTCTCAATGCCCTCTGAAGATGGAATGGCACAGTCATTGATTTTGCTGCTGGCACTCAAACAGTGCAGTCTAGCTGTTGCTTTATCTTCATCTTGCTTCAGTTTAACTTTTGCAAGTCCCTCCACCTTTGCAACATAGCTTTCAACAGGATGATTATTAACTTTTCTCCTCCTCTTCTTTGAGCCTTTTTTCTTTCTTATCATGGTTCCATTAGAACAGTTTCTAGAAGATCTTCCACGTTTGACATCACTTGAAGCTGCAATATCATCTCCTTCATGAGAGCTCTCCAATTGCTTATTTTTTGACAGTGAAGTGGGGCATTTTTCTGAAACTTGTGAAGCATTTTCACCATCCTCACCTTCCTTAAAAGCTTCCTTGAGAGCAAGTTCAACCAAATCTTTATCAGAAAGAATCTTCAGATCATCAACAGAAATATCATCAGCATCAGCAAGTAGAGATGAATCCGAATCCAATTCAAGCTTTAAATCATGAAGTTCTCGCAGAATAGAATTCTGGAAGTAAGGAACCCTAGTCAAAGCACTGACAAGAGTAGGGGTATAAATAGGACCGCCCCTTGGAATGGAGTAGATGTTATCCTCTTCCACCATCTTTTCTTTCTCTGATCAGCAATTGCCAATGGCAATTTCTCCCTTTCTTCCTCCTTCTTCCTTGTCTGTGATACTTTGTCCTCCTTTCCTTCCTCTTGCTTGCTCACTTAGTAACCAATGAAGGTTACCCAACAACTGAAAAAGGGTTTATATATTAAACCAGAACCGGGAAAAGTGAATTCTTGAGTTGTTCGTTCAAAACAAGCAAGATTAAAATGACTCAGAATCAATATTCTAATCAAAACAGAGCCTGAGACTGAGCAAGTCATTCAGTTTCTCTCACAGGCATTTCATCGAACAGGTTGCGCGATGTAAAAAAAAAAGAAAAAAAATCAAATAGATAAACAATTGAACAAAGAACAAAAGTGATCCCGCAATAAAAAAAAATTCAAATTTTTATGAGAATGAAGCACAAATACACAAGCGAATTACAAAATTTGGTAATACCACAGTTACCGATCTAAAAATAATTACAACAGAACTATAGAACTGCCTACCTTGAGTCTATCAAACTAAGAAAAAAAAAAATTTGACTGATCAACGTTAAGCATACACACATTACAATTGTGCCAAGCAGTTAGTTGAGTCTATAGTTTGAAATTCCTTAGAAGATCTCAAAGAAGATCGAAAACACGACCTTATGATTTTCCACCCATCTCATGAATGACAGCGGTGACATATGAGAAAGAAAAAGAAAAAGAAAAAGAAAGCAATATTACCACTGTATAGGTCGAATGAGCGATGCAGAGAGCGGCGAAGAGCAACTGTTGTGATCGTCGGAGAGTTTGCCTTCAGCCTGTGTTCTTCGGTTGGGCAGATCGAGCGAGGTGTAGGAGAAAGTGGGAAAGATGAATACAGACAATTCTTAAAAGAACTTTAATTTTAATTTTGCTGCGGTAAATGAACCGGTCACGGTCAGTCAAGATATTTTGGGTTTTTAATTTTTCCGCTTATTAAGAGAATTAATAAAGGTTTTTTTGAATTAGAGTTAGTATGGGAGTACTGATATGTAAATGTTGCAAATTTTTTAATATTTTAAAAATATATAAAAAATATATAAATTAATATTTTATATATTTCTAAAATAAAAAAATACAAATTAAAAATTAAAATATAAAAAATATTATTAAATAAACACTTAATGAGTAGAGCAAGTTCTTCAACAAATTATGTTGCGGGTGTAACAGATGGCCTAATTATTTTGGGCTTTATATTCAGTCTAATAAGATTTGTTAATGGGCCAACTGTGGGTGTGTTACCATGTTCTTGGTCCAAAGGCCTGTAATTTGGATTTCTATTTGCCTACTGGAAGACATGAATTTTTTATTGGCAGAATATTGAATTCTTCTAGCTTTAGTAATTAGTAACGTATTAAAGAAATTGAAGTACTATAGTTCAAAAAAAAAAAAAAAAACGAAATTGAAGTATTATCAATTTTATTTGGTGCAAAATCTTGGGGAGTTAACAGATTAGACCAACAAAATTAAGATTTTACAGATTTACATATAGTCTATCAATCCCTTGCTCCTACATTATTACCAGCTTGAGACGCAATTAAAAACATAATTTCTTCCCAGTCAAAAGCCATTGAGTTTTACAGCAAATCTAATTAGAAACGTCCCAACTCTGTGAGTTCCCCGTTTAAATATCTTCCTAATTAAAAGCCATTGGGTTCTCTAGCTCCTTGATAAAGTCATTGCATCATACAAATCATTGCATCCACCACCACCCCTATTCGGTGCAATTTGGGTATAAAACACCAAACTTTTTAAATTAACTATTTAATTTCAGGGTGGATTCTTTTAGTTTTAGGGTGGATGCTAGAACAAAGTGTGTTTATCTATTGGCACAAAT